GACTTGGCGTCCCGCTTGTTTTTATATTGTTTGCTTTTGTTTTAATATATGTATGTATATATATATTTGCACAGATCCGGGCTAAGCGGATGCGTCTGTTCTAGTCAAGAACATTTGTGCTTAAGCAACAAAAGACTCCCACGCGCATTTCCGCTGCAGCTCTATCTATCTCCCTCACTCACACACACACTCTCTCTCTCTCTCTCTCTCTCTGTTACTCCCTCTGTCGCTGTCTCTGTCTCTGTTTATGGCTGCCATTAATAGATAAATGAATTGGCTTACGCATTTCCGTCACTTGCCGTGGGGTCAATTGTGGGTCAAGCAGGGCGCAGGGAACGCATTGTTTTTTAATGCCAATTTCGAGAGTTGTTGCCGTTGTTGTTGTTGCTTCTGCTCGTCTTGTTGTTGTTGGGGTCTCGTTGCAATCAATTCGCAACGCAGCCAGCAGCTAAACGAACGGTTTGCCTGTTCATGTAGCTTCAGTTTTCAGTCTCAGATTCAGCTCCAGCTTCAGCTTTTGCTTCGGTTTCGGTTTCTGTTTTTCTTTTTTTGGGGCCACATCTTCATGGCGCATTTATCGAATTGTTATTTCCGGTTTTTGTTTTTGCTTTTCTTTTCATATACCCTGTGCTAAATCAAAAATATTCACTACAGCGCAAAAATACAAAATGCATCTAAGCTATGGAGAATCTTAGGCAATTTTATTTGTCTGTAAAGTCTTCCAATTTGTATGAACTCACTTTTAGAACGAAGATTTCCCGTTACGAAGAAAAAAATGTATATAATATATTATAATCCATGCAGATTATTTTATATTAAACTATTTAGTCTAAAATTATTCACTTTGTGTGGCTTGAAAATTTGAAAAAAAAAAAAAAATTTTAATCTCTACTTGCTAAAGATYTTTGGTACTAACTGAAAGATTAATTCTAGTTAGTTTGTGTATAGATTTTGTGTACCAAATAAAAACAGGTTGCTTATCTAAAAATTTAAAATACTTAAAATGTTTAAATATAATCTTAAATAGGTATATCAGAATTTTTTTTTAACTTAGCATGAGAGCTTAAAGAGTTAAAAATAAAAGAAAATAAATAAAACAGCAGAATACCTACATATAAATATTGTACATATTTTATTAAAATATAAAAAATATTGTTTTATGAAATTTGTATTTAAATCTAACCAGACTTTTTTAATTTCAATTTTCATT